TATGTATAAAGGAAATCCTCTCAGTTTCAATCTTGTGATAGGGTGGTGTTTCCCAACACACGTGTCCTGTTTGAATTACATTTCAGGTGCTAGTCCCTCCCCACCTTCTCCTGGGTTCCACTGAAGGGACTGGGCCAGGTTTTGTGTTCCTTTGTCTTTCTGTCTCTCTTGGGCTCCTGCTTTATGCTCACACATTCCTCTACGTTGTCCCCTGTGTGCTAGTCTTCATTGCATTTTCTGAAATACAAACTCATCCCACATACTTATTCTCATCATTGTTCTTGACAGTTACCCAGAGTTATGGCCCCTACAAAGAATGAGCTGTTTGAGCCAAATGTGTGGGAAGAGGTTAGCGGGGCCACTGTGGACCTCTAATAAGCCCTAACCTTATTAACATTTAGCATGTCCAGGCACTGTGCTGAATGTCCTGCATGCATTTACTCATTAAATCCTCAATGAGGAGGTGGATAACTTTAATATCCTTGTCTTATAGATGAGATCACAGAGTCAGAGAGGTCACATAATTTGGCTAAGCAAACCCCAGCAGCCTGACAAAGCTTTAACAGCCTGGATAGATCTAGAGCCTGGTGAAAGGGGAAAGACAGTGTGTGCAGCAAAGGTGACAGGACCCAGGGCAGCTGGAGGGGACAGTCTGATCTAGGAAAGTGCTCTGGAGGGGATAAAGGGAAGTTGATAAAGGACTAAAGACAAATCCTGTGGTAGCAGAAAGGTAAACATGGACAGCCTTGGGAGCCATACTTTGTCCAATCTTTTTCTATTTTGTTAAAATTTGCTCTTTCCTGATATTTTATCAGCATTTTTAACTACTCAGAATTGCTACATTTACTCTTTCTTTATAATAGCTGTGTAGACCCATTGCAGCTTACATTAAATTTGAAGACATGGCCTTACCCTCAGAACTATTAAATGAGCTTTTTAAAATACTTTTCTCACTCCAGTGGTCTTTCTTAAAAATAAGGCTTCAGTTGATTTCCAGACCAGAATACATGGCTCCTTTTGTTCTGCTTAAGAATAGCTTTTCTGCTGTACTGCAAGGGGCAGGAGGAATTAAAAAGGGATCAGACCAAAACATCTGTCTCTTTCCCTAATCATAGAAACTGCCTCCAGAGTTGGATAAATGTAAATGCTGGACCTTGGGGGAGCAGAGTCTAGGACAAATATTTTGGTAAAAGAATTGGTAATCTTTTACCTCTTCCCATACAGATGGGGCCAATTCCTATTTCCTAAACTTGCTAGAGAAGATCTGTTTAGAGTAGAAGGCAGGAGTAGAGGGTGCCCACTTAGTGGTTTCAATTTTTGTGATAGTATAAGTTAAAAAGTAGGGAACATATTTTGAATCTGCTTATACTGGATAGTCTCCATTTGCCTCTCCAGATCTACTCTCTGCCTCTACTATGGGCTTCATGGACTGTACCATCCAGGTACCCCTTATTCTCTGGATTACAGTTAGGTTTGGCCAGTGGGAGGAGTGGGCAGAAGAGGAGAGAGCAGGAGGAGCGGTCCTCCCAGAGGATAGAAACCTGTTCTTGGTCTGTGGTTTGGCAGCAGCTCTCCCCACCTCGCCCCACAGCTCCTGTGGGGGGCGTCTACTGCGGCTCTCACTCTTGCCAGTGACTGCTCCTCCCTTGCCCTTCAAGCCTAGGAATGGTAACAGCTTCCACTGATACTTTACCACACCTAGCTGATTCCCTTCGCCCTGCCCATGTGCCAATGTTCCTTTCATTCCACAGTCCTCAGTTACCCTTTTAAGTGTGCTGTCTCTTTTTGCTGGAATCCTCACTGCTATGTTTGACTCAGCAGATTTTAAAACATGAAACACATGCATTGCACAGAATTAAACCACCCAAATGGACCCTTCATAGTGCATACATTTTAAAGGAAATAAAAAAATTTAACTCAAGAAAATTTACTTACAATAAAAAAAAATCACAAATCTATCAAAAAAAATAAAAGAGTAACCTTCTGAAATAAAAGTTAATGCCCAATATATGGCCTTGGTCCCATGTTTAAAGACTACAGTTTTTGTGAATTGCAAAATTAATATTTGTTCCCATGGTATTAAAAGAGATCAAAACAAAGTATAAAGTAAAAACAAAATCAATTATAATGCTATTAGGCGATTGAAGCTACGTTATAAATGTGCACAAAGAGAGGAAATCCAATGGAGTTAAGCATTTGATGAAGTCTGAAGAATCATCAGATATTTGAGTTGCAACGACACCTGCATGAATAAGCATTGCAAATCCACATCTATAAACTACTCATTTGCAGAGAAGACTTCTCTGTCTATGAATGGTTCAAGTAGGAGCTCTTCCCAAATTCAGAAATCCATTAGGTTTGGCTTAAACCATTTGACTTGGCTAAGTGAAATACACAAACCTCTACTTAAGTGCCGGCTAACTGTCTTCCCCTGCCTTTCAAAGTCATCAAGTTCTAAATGTGAATACGATCTTTTTTCTTGGTTCAAATCAGAGCTGATATTACATTAGCATTAGGACAATCCTTCTTTCTAAGCTCACTGACATGGGCAGGCAGGGGCGCCGAGAGTTTAAATGAATTCCCAGGGGCCTGGGGCCCTGTGGGTGGGACTTGCCCTTCCTGCGTCTCCGGGCTTTGCAGCCCCTGCCAGCACGGTGGTTTGGGGCTGGCTCTGTTTTGCGAGCTTTGGTATAGCTCTAAGTTGTCATGGGTCCAAACCACGCCGAGATTCAGGTCTTTTGGAGGCTTTCTGTAGCTTATAAGCAAACTCAGGTCCTCATCAGATCTTTGGAGATTCAAGACCACAATTTAATACCAAAATTTCCCAGGTCTAGATTGGGAATGATAAACTGAGGCCACAGTGAACCATCCACAAACCAGTTCAGAACAGACTGTTTGGGCCCATCTCAGTTCCGGACACTTGAAGTTAGGGCTGGCATTCTGAGGTGAATATCCACTATAGTTTCTTTCTCCCTTTCCATTCTGCTGATTGTCAGGGGCAAAGAATAAAATCTAGGTCTTCTTTTATCACAGTTCAGTTCTCTGTTGTAGGCTTAGTTCTGTGTTTTCTTATTTAACTTGAAAAATGAGTCAGTAAACTTAAACAACAGGTATGTTTGATGCAATGGGATTTTTTAGAAAGGAAATATTTACCTATCTATTCTAAGCAATTTTTTTCTGTTATCTTTAAATTGCCTTTGATATTAGATGGCTGACTATTACATAAAAGTAAACAATATATAAGGGCAAATGAAATAACAGGATTTAGTTACTGAACACAGTGCAAGGAGGAGTACAGTGGGAAGAAAAGCTCTAGAAATATGCCAGCTCTTAAATAAATGGTTTAAACTCATGTTTTAGACCCCCAGAGGGAATCATTTGTTCCCACTAGTGATATTATGTACAAGTTTGCATTTTTTTAAGTCCTCAGGCATTCTCTCAGAATTATTTTGGGGGTAGTGAGGTGGGGTATAAGATTGTTTACATTTTCTTTGGAGAAAAAAAGCCATCTGATAAAAGAAACCAATCTTCCAGATTTAAACAAACTTCAGAATTTTATGTTTAGGAATTACCCATGAGCCCAATTAGTTCTATTTAGAACAATTTCTTAACTTTAGAATACTTGGTAGACAGGGAAGATTTATTTACGTGTCCAGATTTTAGTTAAGTTAAATTTTGCCTGGTTTGTTTAAATTAGTAGGAAAGCAAACCATTTATTTATTCTTTTAAAAACAAGGGCTGATTTGACATAGATCATATCAAAATACACAATGCCTAGATTGGTTTGGAGTCACTGAAGTGATCATCTAGTTTGATAACTACTTATAGGAAATGGTTTTGCGTAAGCAACTCAATGAGACTTTGGAAAAAATTAACATCCTTTTTGTTTTTTTATAATAGCAGTTCTCTAATACTACAAAAAAAAAGATGATTCTACTATTTTGAAGATCATGTTATAAGAAAAAAAGTCCTCTGATACTAAGTACTATATTGAATATTTTAAACTCTAATTTACAATGCAACCACACTTTAAAAACCTGCCAAATTAAAATGTAGTGTTTCTACTTTTATCTCATTTAAAAAATATTATACATACTCTAATTATAAAATGTTGTTTGGGGGAATTCATCAAATACTATTCCATTTTCAAATTTTTGTTTCATAGTTTATTTCTGTAACATTTCAGATGAGTTTACACAGTAACTAAGATATGATTAAACAGTGCAATTCACTGAAATATTTTGATGCTGAGTTTACACCATTCCAAACATTTAGATTTAGAAATATATTAAGATGACTCACTGTTACATGATTTCCTATATAGTATGAGTCAAGCCATGTCACCTAGATAAAAAATAGACAGATAAATTTTGCTACAACATGGTCATCTTATAAAGTAGGTGTTAGTCATGGCCTTGACATCAGTATTAAAAGAGTTCCAGTGCATCTGAAGAACTGACCAGTTATTTTCAGCTTTTAATCTTATTGTTTGGCTTCAGAAAGAGCCACAGAAACTCTCCCCTGGAAACAGAATGAAGACTATTAATCAGAATTAACTCTTAATAGCCTATTCTTTCTTGTTGTGAGGAAAGTTCCTAAATTCTTTTTTGATTACTATTAGCACAATGGATATAACAAAATAAATAACCTGACACATTGACACACAGCTTCTGAAGGACTAGTGAAAAAGGTGATTTCAACCAACTGAGCCTACTCTTCTTCAAGTAGTAGATGAGTGTAGCCATGAGAAACAGCTCCCACAGACACAAATATGAGAGTACAGGGTGCCTATGATTTTCAAACTCATTGTCCAAAGAAAGGGTTTGTTTAGCAGTCACAAGACATCAGGCTTGGTTGTTTCCACATATCAACTTCCTAGAGAATACATATCAAGTTTTTTCTGGTCTGACTGTATTGAGTATTTATAATGGTAGCAGCATAGAAGATTAAAATAGAAAACACAATAACTAGGGTTTTAAACAAATTACAAACCCACATGCTTTCTCTGTTCAGCAGGAAACCTTTAATCAAAAGGCAACCAGATCTTAAATGCAATTGGTTGTTCCTCTAAAAGCCATTAACATGCTCATTAAGGGTAAAATTTATCGGTCCTTCTGACACCTTCCATAAAGTGCCTTCTCAGCACCTCTGTAGTGCAAATCACAGCTGGAATGTTTGTTTACTCTGTTTTATTAGGGTAGCTTCATTTTGTTTATAAACTAACTCTCTTCATTTCTTCATGGAACCATTTCAAAATGATCTTCCAGATGCTGGCTAACTTAGCACTTCTTAACTACTGTCCACAAAAGTCAGTCTGTTTACTGGCATTTGACTGGGTAGAACAGGAAGTTCGTGTTCCATCTTGTGTTCTTAAAGAAACCCGACAACAGAGGACTGAACGCATTAGTCTCAGAACAGGAGGTCTAAGGATGACAAAGACCCAAGGGTCGATTATTGGATTAATTGATAAAAATCTAAGAGCTTGGAGGTCCCACTTTTCTTTTAGAGAAAAGGATTCATTCCCATATGCAAAAATCTGTAAGAAGCAAAAGGGAAAAATGATGTTAGTTTTATATTGCAGCAGTGGAAAGTCTTAGAGCAAATGCAGTTTCTTAAGATGTAAAAGCAAATGTGCTTTCTTTGTGGTGGTGGTGGTGAAAGGTGGACAGCCATGTGTTCATTCCTTACAAAAACTCTGAAACATAATTATTACATCCTTTTGACAGATGAGGAAGTGAACTTCAGGAAAGTTAATAATCCATTACATTTACTTCCAAAAACTTATCTGATTTAATTAACACAATTTAGTGAGAGAAGGGACACAACAGAGCAAGTGTTTTGGACACAGGACTGCCTGGGTTTGCATCCTAGCTCCATAAATAGCTCTGGGATCATACGGAAGAAAATGAACCTCTGTATGCCTCAGTGGGCATTAATAGTAACAATACCTCCATCTTAAGGTTGTTGGGAGGATGATAGGGAGGGTTACATCATGTAAGTTACTTAAAACAATGCTCACTTATTAAGTGCCACACAATGTTAGCTGCTATTATCCCCATTTTATTGAAAAAGACACCAGGTACAGAGAAGTTAGGTGACTTGTCCAAGCTCCCAGGTCTGGTTAGTGGCTGAGCCAGGACACAGTCCCACTTCCCTTGACACTAGTACAGTGTTGACCATGTGCTACATCCAGGTCACCTATATTAGTATAAAGGTCTCAGAACAATGTCTTAAACAATGGAAATCTGACCTGTCTTTACACACTGACCAGTGTTTTCAAACTAGTATATACCAGCTCTCATCTGATTCCTTAGATATTTACGGAGTTTTTGGTCAAATTGAAAAGAATGGAACAGTGCATGCTCTATAAAGATCAGCACTTCCAGAGCTTACAGAAAAGAGAAAAAACAAGTGTAAACCATACCCAGTCATTTAAAACCAGTTCTTTGCAATGCTCTAGGGACTTCCTTACCAACTGTGATGAGTTAGGGAAGCTATTCCCTTTTTCCTCTAATCTCCTTCCTAGGAAAAGGATGGCTTATTTCCTTTTCCCCTGGTACTTACTCTGCAGGCATCTGGCAACTGGATATACAAAGCAAATTTCGGGGAGGGAGAAGAGTAGTCATCTTTGGGTTGCTTATGTTAGGACAATAGCAGGAAGGTTTGGCAGCAATAGGTGTTTATGCCAGAGAATCTTGGCATGGGGAATGGAGAAAAGACTTGGCAGATGAATAAGGATAAAGAAGACTTGATGGTGAATTTCCCTGATTGTAGAGAGAAGAGGAAAGTTAGGTGGGGATAGGCAACAATTTTCTCATCAACTAAACTGTTTTCAATGAGAAATATACAGTACTTACATGGTAGATTAAAGGAGTGATTTTGCAGCTTAGAAATTCAGGATAATAGTGCACATAAACCTGATAGATTAGAATATATTAGTCACACACATACACACACACACACACACACACACACACACCACAAACTGAGTCTATGATCTGGTTTTCCCAAAGAACATGATAACACAGAATGGCTAGGCCAAGTGGGCAGTGTGGAGAAGACTCCACATCCTCGTGTCACAGCTTCACACACGATGATGAGTCAGGTTTGCTGTGGTGCATAACCACAGCACATTTCCTGACCTTTTTACAGTGGGACAGAACATTGAGAAGTGAAAAATGGTTTTAGAGGGTGAAGCAATTCTGTACTATTTGTTTCCTTTTCATGTTGGGTTATTTTTAGAAATGCCTAAACTTTGCATTTCAAGAAGTGACCAATATTTCGTAGAAGACGATTTCTTTTTTTACACTTGGAAAAGAGACATTTCAGCAACCCTTAGGGTTCTTGATCTAAGTTTTGTCTTCTCCCACCTCCCTTTTTCTTTCGTTTGTTCTTTTTGCCTAGAGTTTACTATTTCTAATCTTGTGGATCCTGTTGTAAAATATATGTAGAATAAAATTTACCATCTTCATTATTTTCAAGTGTACAATCAACAGCATTAAGTACATTCACATTGTTGTGAAACTGTATTATTTATTTTTTTTATATTTTGACATGGTCCAAACATTTCTGGCTAGAGAGAAACTACTCCTCCCCAGGGCTATCCATTCTAGAAAGACAGCCAAGGACTCAGCCAGGAGCCATCCTTGATATGCAAACTAACCAATCCTGAGCCTCCTCTATTTGGCCCTAGGCCCCAGGAGGCAATTTTCCTCTTCCTTAAATCATTCCAGTGCCTAGTACTAGGCAACTAGGGACCAGTTTACAGCTTTGAGCCTGGGGAGATGATTCAAAATAGCAGTCCTAAAGTGTTTACCCTATCCCGCCTTATCTTTCTGTTGGAAACTCTTGGCTAATATTCTGCCCTAGCTCCTGCTCCTCTGGGCTCCTGACCCATGCTAGTCCCTTCCCATGTGGCCTGCGTGTTGCAGAGTGCTTCCTGTTTCTGGGACCTATGAGTGTTATCAACATTGTTCTCCTGAGCCTTTCCCTTGCTCCTCTATGGCCGCACCTGACTGACCATCACATAAAAGAACACGGAACAGCAACTATTATCACCATCTGTCTCCAAAGTTTTTTCCATCATTTCAAACTGAAACTCTACACCCATTAAACAATAACTCCACATTATCCTCTCCCTCTGGCTGATCCTGTATTTTAATTAAAGGCTGACACAATGGATATGTTAATTAATTAATAATGTTCAGTGATATTCTGGAAGTCAGCTTCAGAGGCTGGTAGAATTTATACATGTTTTGCACACCTTATTAATAAATGTGTTATGAGAAAAACACCAAATACTAATCTAAACAAGTCAAGTGAGTTTTAATTCCTTAGGACATGCTCTCTCTACAGGGCTTTGCTAAGAACATAAAGCTTATTTTGATACCCACAAAGCAGCAAAGATGAAAATTAATGTTCTTTAGGTTTATCTTCTATGGAATCCTTGCAGCCTCCACTGGAAAACTTCATCCTGGCACTGAGCTATTTTCTTACCTTTAATGCACATACATAGCAGGTTCAGAATTTTAGAGCAAATGAGAACTTTATTTAGCTGCTGCTATTTGAAATCACCCAAGGATAGTTAAAAATAGCTGATGTCTTGCTCCTTCCTTCAAATACCCTGATTTAATTAGAATGGTCTGTAATGTGAGTGTCAGGGTTTTTAAAGCCCCTCAGGTGATTCTAATGTGTCCACAGGGTTGAGAACTTTTCCTTTAGAACCTTAACCAATACATGAAATAGTTTAAAATTATTTATCTTATTTAAAAATAAAAGATCCACTTAGGCCTGGCCAAACAAATGGTTTTGAGCTTCCAAAATTCACTTCCTGATCATTAAAACACAATTTGATTTTTCTTTGGAAACTGAATCTGATGAAGATAGCAGCTAATATTTAATGAATACCACTGTGTGCCAAGCATGGTGCTAAGCCATGTGTAAGTCTTATTCTGTTTAATCCTTACATAAACCTGCTTATTATTTCCATTTGAATAAGTAGGGAATCAAGGCTTAGATTAGTTACTTTGCCCAAATCACACTCAAGGTAAGGAGGGGGAGCCATCGGTCATACTCAGGCAATGGGACCCAAACTTTCCTTTTCTACTATACACTCTGTTGCCGACTGTATAAAAAGCTTATGACGTAGTCTCACATGAAACTCACCACTGACAGATTATGGGTTTGCGTATGTTCTTTTCAAAGGTGTCACAAAGGTTTATGGGGATCCTCGCTCCTGTATATACATCTACAAAGCATGGCTGCATCTAAGTAGCTACTTGGCTTTCTTTGAGGCTTGTTTTTCCTCCACATTTTCTGTAGCTAATCTGCAGGCAGAAATTTTTATGTTTATCTGTCTTGTGAAAGACATGAAGGTGTTCTGGCTATGGACTTTGTATAATTCATTCTTTAAAAAAATTTTTTGGGGTAAATTATTTTCCAGGTATATGATTGTGGGGAAAATGGAAGTTCCTATGGCCAGCATTCTTACCTGACCCTAAACTACATGATGATGTAATTGGCCTACTGCTAGGCTAATGCTTCCACACCTGTAGGCAATGAGCTATTACTGATTGAATCACTATATAAAGAGCTCTGCCCAGTGCTCTGGGCGGAGGCAGAGACGGAGGAGGGTTACAGACCTGCGGACTGCTGGATGCAGACATGATTCTAGTGCTTAACCTACCGCTGGGAGAATAAAGCCAGGTATAAACCCTTTTACCCCAAGTCTGTTCCACTGTCATTTCTCGGTCTCGCTGAATCCATAGTGAACTTGCCTGGGGCTGAAACCCTCAGGCAAGACAATGTTTTAAAGAAACTTCTTACCCCAAGTCACAGGTGCTTTGTGGTGAAGGGAGCAGGACCCTATGTTCCTTCAGAGGGAAGACTGGGCATGGATGTGGCTCTAGTGCTCAAGAGTGTCCCCTGCTTTGTGCTTCAGGTGATCCCAGAGCTGAACACAAAAGAGAGTTAATGCTAAGGTTTAGAGTCTGGGTTTGTATATTCCAGGGTGGTAGCTCTGAACCCTTTGTGAAAATGATGGGCACTATAAACCATCTCCCCAGAACTCATCACATAAACACAAGATTTTCAAATGATTTAGAAGCATCCATACGCACTCTACGGAGTGCAGGTTAAGAAGCCCGGTCCAGAGGAAGTTCCAACCTTCCCCACATGCATTGCCCCTATCCATGGCCCTCCCCATCACTCCTATACCTCCAGCTACAGAAGTCTTAAGTCTAGTTTCTGTTGGAGGGGAGCAATTTTAGGCAGCAAATTATTCTGAGAAAAATGAAGCATGGTACACTTTGATAATACAAATTGAGGCACAATGGATGTGAGCTCAAGATAAGGATAGGGATTGTTGATCAGTAATTTTGAAATAGAGGATGGGAGAAGCCATGGAAACTGTGCAGGTCAAGTTGCAGATTAACTGGGTCTTGAGACTTTAAATGGAAAGATACTTGTTGACTGCTTTCCTGAAACACTGTGTCTCTGCATATCAATCACTTGCAATTTCTATTCCTTATTTTTAAC